GCAGGTGACTCCAGATGCTTCCTGTTCACTGTGAGCCCCAAACTGAGAGTTTATACAGCAACAGGATACAACCAACACTTCATGTACCTCAATCAGAACCAGCAGACCATGCCCAACGGACTGGTGAGACCACACTCGTTCAGCTGGAGAGAACTTATTAATGTTCCTCAGGGCCTGTGCTCATCACAGATATCCTCACACATGACCTCTTACTTTTACCAGAGCCTTAATATCTTTAGAGAAGCTGTGTGTGATTTAGGGAACATAGCAGTCTGTGTAAAAGTGAATTTTAAAAAGCTTTGTTTTTTACCCTTTCATCTAAGAATTCTCCTGAGGTGTGTGCTGAGCATGTCGGTTATCTCTGACCTGATGGTAGCAGTGTTGGCTCACTGATCCAACAGCTACACTCAGTGATATCAGTGTCACCTGTTGTTGTCACAGTGCAATGACGGTGTAGTATCTGTGCTTCAGGTGTAATGTAGAGCTGCGCTGTCTTTGACATTTGAGGGTCTACAGATGATAGTAAACAGAAATCTGCCAACGATGACTCGAATAATTGGACAGCAGAATTAAAAAGAGTAAAAGTTTCGATTTTGTCCAGAATCAGAAGAGTTTCAACAGAAAGTCCCACAGAAGTGCAGAATATCTCATCATCATCTCAGCGGTGCAGTAAGCAGGCTGTAATACTCAGGAGCATGTGGCTCTGTACCTCATACAGCAGCTCTGTTCAGCCTGACCTGACAAACTAAGCACATCTTCTGATCATTTAGAAATCATTTGAACATTTCATAGGTTCCTCAGCGTAGACACAGCGGCTCCTGTCCACATTTGGACAGGAGCCGGTTTTATTCCACTTGCTCAGTTTTGGTTTCTCAGGCGTTTGACTTTGACTTTCACCTGCTGGTTAGATTTCAGCATAGAAAAGTACTCGGTTGTTTTCCTGAACACAGCGGCTAAAGAGACGATATTTATTTATTTGCCCCTGAGTGGCCCCCGAAAATGATTTGTTTTGTGTGACCTGCTTGTGTTAACTGACATAAAGATGTGTTGTCTGGTGTTCATCAGGGGATGGGCGGTCAGCACGGCTATTTCGGCCTGTGGCTGGATAGTGACTTTGGCCGCGGTCATAGCCGGGCACGACCCAAGTGCACCACGTATGGCAGCCCTCAGCTCTCTGGAGACGAAGACTTCACCCTGGACTCCATGGAAGTGTGGGCTGTGGGAAAACCCCCAGAGCCCGAGGAGGTCAGAGTACTTGTTCAAATTCTTCTATAAACTCGGCAAAATAAAGACCCGTGCTGACCTAGAGTCAGAAGGTTCACACTGGGTGTTAGTCGGTGTACCTGGAGCCAACAATGTGTGGCTGTCTGAACACAAACAGCCAAACAACATCTCCGTCAAACCAAAGAAATACATGTTTGCATTTTGTGTGATTTGGGCCTTAACTAAAGTTTCTCTTTAGAGCCCATTTTTAGTGTTTGCAGCTTTTATGTCTAATCAAAAGAAAATTGCTGGGATAGTCGAGCAGGGCGACATGAGCAAAAATATTTATCACCATGTACATTTGAAAATTTGCGATAACGACATAACTGACGATATAATTGACACGAGACAAAATACTTTACAACTCCTCAACTTTATTAGTGCAGAAAAAAAAATCAATGTATTTTCACTTAAACAAGCAGCTGTTTTTTTATGTCCATTAAAGATATATAAAAGTTTAACAGTGCAAATGCAAATTCTTTGCTGACAGTTTAACCAAAAGGCATTTCAAGTGGAAACTGGCCGACATATCCTCAGCATAACCATGTATAACATCCACAAAACTTAAAAAGAGGTTATACACACACAATACGGTAATATTATGTTGAAGCACAGTACGTATCACTCCGCGAGGCTCCGCCTACGATAGCCGTAATGCTCCGACAATCCATCAAGCGGTGCGGCTTCGTAGCTTAGCAAAGTCGTACTGAAACATCTGACAGATTTTCGAGCGCCGTGCACATAAAATCGTTTCCAGGTCAGTAACACAACCAGAGTTCATACATAAGGACACGGGATTATAAGGGGCTCTGTCGACTTTCAGAAAGTCGACAGAGACACACACACTCGGATGCTCCAGAGAGGACAAAGAGGAAACATGCATTATTCCTTCAAAGTTCCTGACTAACAGACAGAATCTCCTCTTTAGTATCCCTGCATACAATATTGTGCAAAAGTCTTGAGCCACCCCTCATTTCTTCATATTTTATTTCCAAGGAGCAATTCCTTTTAAATTCAAAGGACTCCCGAGCAATCGTTCTCCAGGCTTTTTGAAGCTCTTTCAAATGTTTTCTTTGAACATTGGCGGCTTTTTCTGTCCACTCCCTGTACCTGATCATTTTCACAGTTATTCTTTAGATTTCTTTCAAATTAAATGCTTAAATTACATTTTTAGGCACGTTGCCACTAGCAGCCTGTCATAAAACACATCATTTGTTCCCATTACTTCTGTTGAATCTACAAGTAGTACCAAAGATAGCACAGTTTGACAGAAATAAAATAATATTGTGCAGCAACAAGGTGATACCCAAACAGCTGTTAGTCAGGTGGCTTTGTCATAAACACGGGCCTCTTTTAGGTCTCTCTTATTTCTGCCACGCCCACCACTGTAACCAACAGTCTCTGTGTCACAACACAGCTCAGCCTTACATGTAAATGTATGCAAAGACCTCCCATCAAAACATCCCCCTAAATAACCTTTAGGGATCAGTAACTCTGCAGGTTTAGCAGACAGACCAGTTTATCGCCCAGTGTGCTAGTACTCCACAAATCTCACTTTATGTTACTTTCCTAAATTATTTTTCAAGGTAATTAATATGCACAGAGCACTAACTTTTTGTGCAGTTGTACATTGCATTAATAATATATGAAAGTACAACATTTCACACAGCAGAATTTGTCTAATGGCAAACTCACACTGAGGAGATGTTGTTGCACTCTAATGCTGATCAGTGCATGCACAGAGCATGCACTGCACCACGAGAGCTGCAGTTCTTCTGCATGAACCTGCTGTTTCCTTTAAAAACTGTGTTTTTATTTTCTGTGCCTATTATTTTGCTTTACAGGGTGAGGAGGGCGGAGCTAAGAAGAGCATCCTGGATGTGGATCCAGAGGCCCAGGCCCTGATGGAGATCACAGGGAAGACCATGCACAGTCAGGGCCTCAGAGAACCAGAGGATGACCAGGAGTGACTGTAAACACACCCAGCTATATATCGCTTCCATTCATGCCCCACCCCCCCAGTCTACCCAGGTACTAATTCATGTGGATTTAAAGGGAGCTTAAAGGTGGTCTGCACAGTGTGGTTTGTCACCAGTGTGCAGGTTTCAGGCCTGCTTTACATCAGCGAGAGCACGATGGACGTGTTCACATTTGAGCTGCACTGGAGTGAATTCATTTCATCACTATTAAAAAACACAGAGTGAAGAATCAGACTAAAGAGACGTAGCTTGGAGGAATAATTCAGGGAATTTACAACACTGGCGATCACAGCTTCTTTTTCCTTCCGGTAAAGTTCATGAAGACAAGAAACAGAAACTTTGATTACCTGTCTTACAAACTGGACACATTCCTGGATTTACTATTCCTTACCAGTTAGCACAAAGTCCAAATCCTGACTTGGATTCTGGGCAGATAAGCTGAGTAATTAACAGCTTAAACAAAGACTGTGGAATGCTGCATCACAGCAGGCCTGTAGCGTCTGTGCAGATGTGATACTGTGAATTTCACCTTTTAAGTCACGTGTGATTTTATGCTTCAGTGTTTTAGACTGATGAGCAGGTCTGTGGTTGATCAGCGAGAGGATCAATAAATCTCTATTTAATCTGTAATCTAATCTGTATTATATTACTTATAAAGTGAAATATTTCAAGCCTTTTTTTATGCTTTACTTTGATTTTTTTGGTGTTATTTTGCTTCTTCCTCATATGAACAGCAGAGTGAGCTGGTCCAGAGAAGCTGCAGCACTTTACTTGTTGCACTAACTGGCTGTTATTCATTTAAAAGGCTGTTTTGCAGCAGTTTACAGCAGCAGCTGCTCTGCTCCGGTGTGAAAGGTGAAGCAGTGTGTGAAGATGGGTGCTGCTCGCTACTTTAAATGCTTCCATGGTTGATTCTTCGACTGTATTTAAAAGATAGATGTAGCTGAAGTGTGTTAACCTTGCATTCTGTCTGATGGCCGGGCAGGGTAAAGTCTCAGAATGACGTCTGCAGACTGTAGAGGGAAAACATCCTCCAGCTCCCTGGATCTGTGTCCTTACTAAACACTTCCGATGTGTATTTATTGTCTCAGTCACTAGTTTGAGCCCCTAATAAATAAAGCACAGTCATGGTTCCCAATAAGCTCGCAAGGAATAATAAAGTACGGTGTACTCTACCATGTGACTAAGATGCTTCTTCAGAGGTTGCCACTTGGCAGACATCTATAAATTTTAGTCCCAGGACTGTCGGGATAGTCAGTTATTGCGACCACACCACAAGTAGGTTTATGGGTGCAGCTTGCTATCCAAGAATTAGCTGATAGCTTATCTTTCCACCCACAGTTGGCAGCAGACAAAGGCTTTGAGGCTTCAAAGTTCAGACTCACCATTGGAGCCATCTTCGAGTGGCCACGAGAGGATCAGCAGAGAGTTTTCGGCGTTTCCATTCTGGCTTCTTCTATCAGTCCTGTGGGCGGAGCTTGTTAGTTCTGCTCACAGACTTCATCCATGTGCTGCAGAATAAGGCGAGCTTTGTAAATGTTCAGGTTGTCTAAAGATGGAGCAAAACTAGAAGTGACATGTGTCCTGCAGTCTCATGCTTGTGATGTCAGCTGCAACCAAAATGATTGCAGGTTTGAGCCGATATCACCTGAAGTCGCTCGTTTACAAGACGCGCTAGCTTCTCTTTGGCACAGTGCAAGGAAGTGGTGACATATCATCCATATTTAGGCAGTGCTGCAGACCTTTGCCTGAGCAGCTCTGGCACTGACTCGTTCTGTGGTTACGCTGATAAAGATCAGGATTGCAGAGTCCAGGAAACCTTTTCTTCACGTCGACGCCAGCTCATTGAGCTGAGGTGGTGTAAACTGAGAGACTATTGGGATCTCTACATCAGGCCCACAAGACAAATGAGCCACTGACTGAGCTCAGCTGTTTGTTAAGCGAGCCAGTTAATTCACACCCGCTTAACTGAATTGACATTCCCAAAAAATGGCTGGGTCTTACCATCAGCAGCCAGACATCTGGCTCAGTTGTAGACACAGGCCTCTTATTTCTGCCACACCCCACAATTGTAACCACAGTCTAGTGTGTCACAGCTCAGCCTTACATGTAAATGTAGGCAAATGCTTCCCCTAAAAACATCCCCCAATATAACCTTTAGGGATCAGTAACTGAAGAACTAACAGACGTGTTGTACAGAGCTGCCGCTGATAGCCTTCCTCTGTCCCAGCACTCTGTAAATCTCACTTCACTGAACAGTTTATGGGAAACAGCCCTCAACCTTTTATTTTCAGCTCAGGACAAACACAACCTGCCTTTTCGTCGCTGTAGAGCCACTTGATCAACGTGCAGCTTTAGGAAATCCACTTCTGTTACACACCAGTCGATATGCTGTGTATATGTGCTGCACAAACAGGAAATCGGTAATGTTACATTAATGCGGTTGATGGATGTGAAGACACAGAAAAGCAGCTTAATGTTATTTCTTTATTTAAAGTGACCACAGAGTTCAGTCAGCTGTTAAAAAAGTGCACGGTGCAGATTTTGTTCACTCAGCTGGAACAAATTAGACTGTGTGAGTTAGCATAGCAAGTGTTAGCAACATGAGCTCTGAAATCTGCTGTATTCATTATTTATTGGTTATTTTCTGTGTGTACACTTTATTGTAGCTACTTTGACCCACTTCTCACTTTTGCTCGAATGTGACTTTATGTCCGCCGGCACGACGCACAGACGAATAACTGCTAATACAAACAGCTGATCCGTGGCTCTGTGTTCACCTCCTCCCGTCTCGCCCGCTCCTCTCTCGCTATCATGCAAATTACTGAGACAAGTTACACATGCAAATCTATCAGATAATCTGACGGCACTTCAAACAGCAGCATGACGGCTCTGGGCCCATAAACATTTATGTTTATTGTATTTGTGTAAGGAAAAGATTTAAATATTATATTCCCAGAAATGAACGTAATCTGGGATCATTTCATATTTTACACTCTTTGGAATATTTTCTCCAACTTGTGGCATTAAAATGTCCCTGTAGGCTTTGTAAAATATTTGACTGTGTCATCATATTTTCTAAAATATTCATCTTTGTAGCTTTTTCTTCTTTGTCTGGCAGAGCAGGGTTTTTATTCTCTTCATCCTGATCCGCACACATGCTGACTTTTCTATAGTTCTGATGTCACCTAGTAAACCTCAAACTTAACTTGCTATCAAAGGACATATTACATTTACTGTTTTATTCACTTAAAAGGAAATTCAGCTGTAAATAATCATTCTTTGCTCAGAAGAAGCAGCAGGAAATTTCCTCTCTGAAAATAGGCCGACTATAAATGCAGAGTAAAGGAAATGAGGCTGTGCTGCCCTTTTTTAAAAGATATTTATAAAACATTTGGTGAACAAATGCTTCCAGGACGTTTCAGCGAGTGAAAATACTTCTTTGGAGTTTGGACCTATGACTAACGCAGGTGAAACAAATGCCTACGACATCCCGGGTTTATAATAATTTTTCACTCACATCCGGTGAGCAGCCACTTCAGATACACCTGTTCAACTGCTTTTTAAGACGACCAATCAACCAATCACATCGCAGAAACTCAGGTGTGCTGACATGGTCAAGGTGACCAAAATGTGACATGAGTGTTGGTGCCAGATTTTTCCTCACATCCATCTTTTATAGAGGAGGTCCACAGAGTATCACCTGAAGAAGGTAAAAGCATCCAGTGAGCGGGTGTAAACACCTTGATGTCAGATGTATGAGGAGAACGCTTTGAGCTGACTGGAAGGCAAAAATAACACCAATAAAGTTTCATTACAACCAAGATGTGCAGAAGAGCATCTCTGAATGCACAAGACACAGCAGCAGAAGACCAAACTGAGAAACCGAGACTACAGTTTGCACATTTTCAGTAAAATATTAGTACCAACTGAGCATCGTTCAAACACCACTGCCTGCCTGAGAATTGTCGATCATGTCCATCTCTTTACTACGACCGTGTCTTCTGATGACTGCTTCCAGCAGGATGACATACAGTACCGTGTCACAGCGCTCAGCTACCTCAAACACAACATTGGGTTCACTGAACTCAGATCAGTCCAGCAGAAAACCTGGGATGTTTTGAAATAGGAGATTTGCATTATGGGTGTCCAGCTGACAAATCTGCAGCAACTGTGTGATGCTAACATGGCAACACGGACCCAAATCTGTGTTTCCAACACCAGCCCAACGTGTGGCCAGCGTGTATATAAGATGTTTAAAGCAAGAAATGAAAAAACAAATGTACTTTCAGTTTAGTAGGATCTGAGTTACAGGGGTTTAGATAAAGAGTAAGATTTGTGGCCTGTAGCTGCAGAAACAGTCAAAAAACGATTTTTCATGATAGTAAAAAAAAAACGCCTGCTTTGCATTTCACAATCAGACTGTTGTAGCTAGATTCCACTTTTATTTTAAAAATGTATGCTAGAATAATATTGTCACTGTACACGTGTACAATGGGATACAGAGCATCTCCTACTCAGTGCAAACATGTGGGAAAAGAATGAGGAGGTGCACAGTTCTGCAGCACTATATCCCACATAGCAGACAGGTCTGGCCCGGATCTGGTGTCAAGCCAGCACTACTGGCTGACTTCTGGCATGGTAAGTGGTATGTCATCCAGATGTGGGCCAGGCCTGGTGTAGATGGCACTGTTTATGTGATGGTATGCTGCATCTGGCCTGATTGTGGTTTGGTTTATGTGGCCCAGGCTCATAGAAAACAGGTCTGGTTCGGGTCCGGCATCAAGCTGGCACTTCTGACTGACTGGTGTCATGGCAGAGTCTATGTCAACCAGATGTGGGCCAGGTCTGGCAATGATGGCACTGTTTATGATCTTATTTCAGTTAGTAGACCCAAATGCCATGTTGCAATACTATACTGCTATGGTAGCCAACATTTCAAATGCAGGTTTGACAGGTTTGTGAGTGTACACTTTATCCAAAACCTAGTGACGGTTTACTCATGTTTACCACTTGGTGGCTGTAGCTCAGGAGGTAGAGCAGGTCACCTACTGATTGGAAAGTTAGTGGTTCGATCCCTGGCTGCTCCAGTCTGCATGCCTGCAAGATACTAACCCCAGTTGCTCTCTGGTGCATCCATTGGAGTGTGAATGGAGTTAGGAAGCACTCAGTTTAGAGAAAGTGACTGTGGCATGTTCTATAGAGTGCTCTGGGAGAGTAGGAAATCACTATATAAGATTCACAGTCTGAGCAGAGTTTTGTCGTGTTACTTTTGCACTATTATATTTCAGCAGTATTATTTGATATATTGATATAATGTTAATTCTGAATTATATAAATCATTCAATTCAAAATAAATTTGCTGCATTACCTTTGTGATGGACAGAGTTGAAAAACAAAGTTCAGACTCACCATACAAGTGGAAGCATTTTTAATGATTCCACTTGTATGACTAGCCACTCAATGCAGGCAGAAAGCTTATTTAATGTTTAAACTGCAGAGATTAAATAATTTTGCTGCTGTAAAATCAGCATTTTGTCATATTTAATATATATATATATATATCAAAAATAATCAGTTTCTTAATGTATTTTCTTTAAAACACTCTTTTAAAGAAAAAAAAAGAATATCATAATTATAATAATGTGTGTGAATATGCATATTAGATAGT